TCCAACTTTCTATCTTTTGAGGTTCCTGGCAGAGTAGTGTATATTAGTATTAAGTTATGTTCAAAGTCAGGCCCCTACGGATGTTCAGTAGAGGCCCGTGCCACTTCTATCTTTTAAGGTTCCTGGCAGAGTAGTGTATATTGTATTAAGTTATGTTCAAAGTCAGGCCCTCTCGGATGTTCAGAGAGGCCCGGGCCACTTCTATCTTTTGATGTTCATGTCAGAGTAGTCGGCATTTAAAGAGATTGCAGTGAATATTTGTTTAGTTATTCATTTAAACACCATAGATGGTGTTTTCATATTTGTTACTGAAACCTTCACCCACTGGTATTAAACATGAACTAGTTCTAAGCATAAATCCAAGATAATTTTCATAATCAATTCCTCTATATTTTCTAATCCAAGTCAAACTATATTCAATAATAAAAGAATGGGTATTTTGTTTTCCTCTGATGTGAGTTTACTTTCTTACAAGGTATCTGAAGAGAAACCGTTAAAATTTACATTGCTATGTTACTTCCTAAAAATTAACAATACAGCTCTAGATTTAAAGCATTATTACAAGTGATAGGTGACGTTTGTTTCAATTAAATTGTTGTACTTTCTCTACCTGGATTTTGTGCTGTAATGTTTTTGACATCCGGATCAAACCACATCTTTAGATGCTCAACTTAAGTTACAGAATGTCGTTCATCATCCAGTGAAAATGAATAAAACAGCTCCATATATCTTTGGTACATATTAAATGTATGTATTTTACATCAAGTAGAACAAGTGAGATTAAAGCTTTTTGGAAAATGCTTTATATTCGTATTCGCTTACGTGTACAGATATCAAATATTTATTGTTGAAATTAAAATGTGAAAAATTGAGTGTCAGTTGTACTTTTGATAACCACAGTTTCAATTCACCAGTATGTAATTTCCAAACAGTCCAAACAGAACATTTATCTTATTGTTCTCTCAGATGTTATCACAACTGAAAACGAACTACCGAATCTTTACGTGTTATAAATCCTTTATTTAGATCTATTATCAGGAATAATATTGGATATTAGGCTTAAAGAGACTATTTTATCCTCCGTCTGGTATTGAGTTGAATGATACCACATCATATCATGCTACACGGTATTATTATATATTTATTTATTATAAGAATAACTTATACACCGAACAAAAATAAGATATGTTAAACTGTTATATAAAAACATCACAAAATACTAGCATATTGTATAAGCCTCTTTACTAAATAGGCATTACGTTATATTTCATAAAATGTATTGAAATATAAAACCTTCCGTCCTCGATATGATTTTAAAATCAATATTGTTCCTTACTTGTGATTCATGAAAATATTAAATCATTTACCAAGTTTACAGTTCAAATAATAATTCACGTAATTTTGAGTTTGAATAAATGCTACAATATGTTAAAATTAATTTTTGTTTGTTTAACGTTTTCTACATTAGCGTTGTTTAAAATTTAAGCGGCTAAGATGACCCGCAAGATAATGCCAAACGTAAAAGAATGAAAGAGAAAAATAGGAAAATATAGAGGTGTATTTAGTACTTTCAGTAAACGAAATCCTTACCTTCGTCATCCTCTGTACCTATTACTAAAACAAAACTCAAAGCCAAGGCAGCACAGACATGGAAGAAATCGGTAGAAAGCATTGTTTTGCTTATAGGATAGATCTGCTGTCCCTCGGAAAGGTTTAATACATCAAAGATTGATTCGATTCTTCACAGGATATATTAAATTGTAGAGTTCGAAAAATTAACGATTATTTTTTTCCGTGTGAATGTGTATTGTCTAACAATGAATAGTATTATATTCCAAAATTGAATTCGATGTGTTTGTTAACAGACACGACTGGAGATGATGGAGCAGACCCCAGCAGTGACTAAAAGCCCGGCAGACAACGTATTGGCAAGCTGAACTCGCCACACAAATATCCCGCTCTCGTTTTGATCGACCGCCGTCTGGTTGAGCTCACTGTTTGTCAAAGGGGAAGGAAGAGAAACACTATTGCTAGAGGCCCATCCTATAAACCCTTCATTTCACTTGGTCTAGACCGACACGGTAAAGCTTTCATTGTTGAACAGTTTCCCTTATTCATTCTTTCACGTTCTGGAGTATAGCATAGAAAAGTAAAAATAGTGTAACTGCTTTGTCTTGTTCGATATCTTATTCATTGGTACTAAACAATAGTTCTTTAAAACTTTTTTTTGTTCCATTTATTATTTAATTATATCATAGCACTTTAGACCTGTTATTTCAGAAGTCCTAATTTTCTTTGGGGGGAGGGGGCACAATAAAATAACTAATGATCGTCTTTCGTTGATATGACAATCCTTTATTCTGTGCATTGGAATATACATATTTTTCAACTTCACATACGACTTCGTTCTCAGACACCCTATAATAAAATACCGTTTACGTTTATGAACAGAAAGAATGATGTATTTATTCTTCATCTGTTTATTTCACTCTCCGTCTGTCTATATCTCTCTCTTCTTCATTGTTTTTAATGGAAATTCGTTGGTAATAACATTAAATGACCCTACAGAATATTGTATTACACAAACGTCAACCAAAGTTAATGAAGGTAATAAAACTAATGATTATACGATAGTGTACACTAAGTGAACTGTTGGACCCAGCGCTAGATTATTTGACAAATATTAAACATCTATGTTTTCAAAAACAATGAATTTTAAAGAATTTATATCACTTATTTATTAATATTACTATCTTAAATCTAATGTTTGATTACACCACATTCAACATGGTAATCATTGAAACGTTACATATGAGCATATGTGAAACAAACTACAATCTTAGGGGATATCTACGAGATCAAAGATGTCAGTCCCTAACAAGTTAGTGTTTTGAGAGTTAAAAATTTAACAGCTGAAAATAGTCTTTTCTGAAGATAACACTTACATGCATGGTTTATATCTTAATTACCGTTCTAAATATTTGGTATCATAAATTGTTTGTTTGTAATTAAGCACAAAGCTACACATTGGGCTATCTGTGCTCTGCCCACCATGTGTATCGAAACTGGGAATCTATCGTTGTAAGTCCGCAGACATACCGCTATTATACTGGGTGGGGGGGTGGGGGTGGGGGGCGGTATTATAAATGTTTTCATTTTTAGGATATTACTTGTTATTTACTATTTCGTAAACAATGAATTTTTCATAGCTATAAATGTGTATATATATATACTACTACTACTATTAAACTGAAAGCAAGAACATTTCTATAAGAGCTTTAACTTACCAGTTTTTCGAGTCAGTGATGACAGGTAGATGAAACATATATGAAGCAAACATAATCTTCGGGTAATGAAAGACTCAAATAGCATCATCCACCTTCAAGTTGTACTTGTTTATAATCTGAAATAAAAAAAAGCCTTAACATTTATCTTTAATAAATATGAACTTTGAAAGCAAAACTACTTTCAAAGGCAGTTTATAATGAAAGAATTTGTTCCATTGTATTACACATACACTTAATGTCTACAAATTTTGCGAACTATTGAAATTTTCTGTTAAAACAAAGTATATGATTGTTGTTATACATTTTATACTACTTATATCTATTCATCAATTCAACAATCCTTCCATGTTTCCTTTTCTCTATGTTTGTTTGTTTCTCCGTCAAGTTAGCCGTCTCGTAGTTTATATATATAGATTTATAGATATAGTTTAGACATATTTCCTACCCAAAGCCCCCTTGTGACGGGAAGACGAAATATTTTATATGACTTAAAAAAATTAAAAAATAGCTTTAGACTCACCATAGTGTTACTTGAGTCTCATAAGTTTCTCCTCCCGATATTTTTATGAATATCCCTTAGTCTTTAATATACATTCAACTCAGCGTGGATACCAGTACAGTGACTTATCGGTTATTGTGTTATTAAGTAGGGTTCTCTCGTCTTTCCGATTTCCGATTATACCTTATGTAAAACATCAAGTATCAATTTGTGTTTAAGCGCAAAGCTACACAAAGGGGCTGGCTATCTGCGCTGAGCCCTCCGCCAATATCGACCTCCGATGTTTAGCATTATACTCTCACAAGCTTATCCCTAAGCCATTTCGGGGAATAAAATAAATGAGTCATCCTAAACCTTCCAGATAGTTTCAAAGAGGCTAGAATCTGTAACATGTTCAAACATAAGTTTATCATTTTAGTGGTGATTCCTTAGGGTAAGATTAACACCTTCAAGTAAATATTTGAAGAAAAATGCTGTTAGAACCTGGTAGGAACTTCATTATAAACACTCACACAGATTTTGTATTTTAGTATTTTGTATTAAGACAAAACTAAGGCTATTTTTCGCTGTCACTAATTTTTAAATACTGGTCAGAGGGAAGGAAGTCAGTCGGAACCAACCTAACACCATCCATCTGCGTTAAAAGATTGACTGTCACCCATATAAAGAACCCACAGTGTGGGAAATATTGTGTGGTATCACACGTATTGCAACCCGGCTAGGTAGCTCGAAATCCAGGGCTCTACCACAGGTCCAACCCGACCCCAGACTAAGAGAAAAAGTATGTATATACAACTTTTTGGTTGTCTTTTCTGTTAGGCTTAGACTTTTGAATCCTGCTCTACATATTTCCCTATTTAAAGTTCTGTAAACTTATTAACGTATTTAGCAAAACTGTTAGACCAATATGTTTAACGACGTATCTTTTCGTGGTAAAACTAAGATAAAATTATTTGTTTTGTATTTGTGGATATAAAAGACTTAATGTAGATCAACATAAAATATATAACCGTAATTATAATATACACATTAGCTTTCTTAGAATTATTTAATCTAATATTTCATGACAATTAAACAGACGTCAAGGTTGAAAAATGCATTTAAAGTCAAAAACCAGATGGGCTGACTGTCAATATTTTCATTCCTTTGAACATTTTTTGTTGTTGTTGTTCTTTTTTCGATGTAGGCTCAAAAATTTGCTATTTAATCAGCTAATGATGATTAAAACCTTTTTAATTTTAGCAGGTTCAACTTCATCAGTCACTGTTCAACATTATTAAGCCTCGAATGAGTAGCTAGTGAATTCACCTTCTCTGATTAATGTAAGTTTTAAAAAAAATGTAATTGCCAATGAAAAACTAAGAAATAGAAAAAAAGTGGCATGTGATACGACGAATTCCATACATGAAACATTAACAATGCTTTTTCTAATGGAAAGTTGAAAAAAAAATGTTATATTTCAGTAATTCTGACTGCCACATAGGTTGTGCAATATCATTTAAATGAAAACTATAAACTATTCATATGAAAAATCTGGAGTTTTTATAAACTGTGGTAGTTTAGAAACTCCAATAAACTTCTTAGCTTTTATACATCTTTGAAGAAGATATCAGTCTATCATAATGTTTCACCAGAAATATCTCGTACAATTTTTTATACATGTAAATATATTCTTTAGTTACGTTTGTGAAGCTTTTTAGTTATCATAAAAATGTATTTTGTTTAAAATTCATTGCAGAATTGAGGGACAATTGTACGTTTCACAAATACATCATTTATTCACGACCATTGTTTGGCCAGTAAATGCATCATCATGTGCAGACTGAAATGTTTTGTAACAGAGTTTATACATAAGAACCGGAAGTGACTTTGAAATTCACCTAGAGACAAGCGGGATAAGAAGTGGGGTGGAGCTTAAGTAAGTTTTGTGGTTTAAAACATTTTCTGGATATGTTTTAAACTTCTATTTATTTATCAAATTTCCAGACTAGCTAGTTTGTTTGTTTTTTACCTTTTTTTCACAGCTATGTAAAATTTTGCAATTTTTTTCAGAATCAGATTAGTGTTTTGTTTCAATAAGGAGGGATGCAAAAGTTGAATCCATTTTCCGGAAAAAAAAGTTCTAAAAGACAAAACCAACTTCTAGTCTTGCAAGAAACCGAAGCTCTACGTTATTACGGATAATTTAGCACTGCTAGCTAGATGTAGCCTTAATTCCGCGTCTTCAAAAAAATAAAAAAAAGACGTAGAAATCATTTCTTTTAATTTAAGATGATGGTGGATGCATATTTTCTAAAAGAAAGTTACTCAGTACTGGAGCGTTTTTATGATAATGAATGTAAAAGCAGAATCAAAATTTTTTAAATTAAAACCTATATTCATTATATATCCATTGTTATAAGATAATGTCAATCACATTCTACAATTCATTGACATGCGCCCCAAACATTCGAGGGTCATCCATGACAGTCATTCAGTCCATGCTCTGTGTACACTGGTCTAACATAAGCATGTATCAGCTGTAAAATTGAAGTGAAACTGAGATTTTAAAATGATTCAAATTTCCCAGGAAAATCTCAAAACAAAAAAAGACAAGTGAATAGTGCATGTTTCATTCAAACAAAAAGTCATGGGATTGGATGAGTGAAAATCAGCCAATCGAAGTATGGTATTACGGATTGGCTGCAAGTGTTTCCAAGTGTAGTTAGCAGAATATGGATCTTTCCAAACCTAAAGTACAGTTGATTTGACATATGTTTAACTAGTAGACTTCAGATATCTGTTGATTCTTATATGCCGTAAACGTAGGGTATATATTCAGAAACTAAATCAGTTGCAAGTACACACTGTGTCAGTATACAGACACTGAGAAACAGGCTTCAAGAGGCCGCACTTAAGCAATGACCAGAAATAATGACAGTATGGTATGTAAGCATGCCATGCATATTTACATCCTTATTTTGATATAGTATTTTAGAGAAACAGTTATTCTAATATCTGCAGTTTTCACATAACACTGTTCAAGAAAGTCATTAAATCCCTTTCGTGAAAGCTATCTTTATTCTTTGTCATTATCTTGGGATAACACTTGGTTTGCTCATATGAGGAGGTTTGTAAAG